CCCCCCCTGGGCTTCTGGCCTCTGGCTCTCGGGGCTGCCCGCGAGCACCAGGCTTGGTAATTTGCAGGACCCTGCCAATACCCCTGTGGGGGCCAGGTGCGTGCCAATCCCTGAGAATCTGACGCTGCAAACACACTGGGCGTTTCAAAAAGGGCCTTGCCTTTTCGAATAGAGCGAGTTGTCATCTCTTCCTCGGCGGAAGGCGGCGGAAGGTCGGCGAAAGTAATACGAGGCCGCCTCCGCCGGCGGAAGCCGGCGGAAGCTCGGCGGAAGATGGCGGAAGTGAAAGGCGACCTCCCAAGAGATGGCAACATATTTTTGGGTTCAGGGTTTCCGGAATCGGCTACATGCAGCATGGCGAGGAGTCATGTCCAGAGCTCTGGGCCCCATCCTTCTGCGCCGCTGCTCGAGCCGCACCGAGCTGGGAGGGCCCCGGGGCCGGAAGCCGGCCGAAACCGCCCGCCGTGAAGCAGCTGCGACGCCGGGGTCTCAGGGATACCCCCGTGGCAGGCCGGGCGCCTGCCGCCGGGGGCGCTCCCCCGGGGACGGTCGGTCCCTGCTCCGCAGGGAGCCTGTCCGTGTGCCTCTCACGAGGCGGTGTGTATAGCTGGCTAATGTCTGGGCGGGTGAGCGGTGACTAGGTCGCTGGCCTGTGCGGCGCCCTGTCCTGGGAGGCTCGGCGGGTGAAGGGTTAGGTCGGGCATGTCCCCCTACAGGCGGACTTAAGACGAAGAATGGAACATGTCCAAAAAGTATCCAATTGTCAAACGAATATTTTTCAAAAAATCGTCCCCACACTAATTTTGGACTTTTTTGGAATATTCTTGTAGAGGGACGTGCCCGACTTAAGCGAAGGGCGAATTCCAGCGTTCCAGGTTCCAGAATCACTCGGAACGGTTCCAGGGTGATTGTGACACCCTGACGCTCGCCGTTTCCAGTTCCAGAATCACCCTGGAACCGTTCTGGGGTGATAATCCATCTGAGACCCCTTCGGCAGATTTTCTAACAGGCTTATTCGAGCTCCTGACAGAAGGGCTTCTTGAGTTCCTTACAGAAGGCCTTTTTTTGGGCTCCGCGCAGACGGCCTTATTGACCTCCTAACGGAAGGCCTTATTTGGGCTTCATGCTGAGGGCCATATTCGGCTCCTTGCAGACGGCCATATTCGGCTCCTTCCAGAAGGCTTCATTGGGCTCCTTACAGGTGGCTTTCTTTGGCTCCTTGCAAAAGTGGCCCTTGCTAAGCTCCTTGCAGAAGGCCTTGTTGGGCTTCTTTCAGAAGGCTTTAGCTCCTTAGACCTTGTTGGGCTTCTTACAGAAGGCCTTCTGTGGCCCCTTACAGAAGACCTCATTGGGCTCCTTACAGTATGCGTTATTGGGCTCCGTGCAGCAGGCCTTCTTGGGTTCCGTGCAGAAGGCCTTTTTGGGCCTCGTGCAGAAGGCCTTCCTTGGCTCTTTGCAGAATGCCTTACTGGGCTCCTTCTTGTGCTCCTTGTAGAAGGCCTTCTTGGGCTCCTTGCCGCGTATCCTCAAGAGCGCCTGCACAGATGGACTTTCACCCTGGAACGGTTCCGGGGTGAGAATCCATCTGGGCGCTCCCGAGATTGGGCGGGGGCGCCCAGGTGCGAGAAAAGGCGCCCCAATATCGAACAACGCATTTTGACCATTTCAACCTGTTCGGCTGGGGTACACCTTCCCGCTTATCCCCGAAAGCGTTATCATTGTTTTTTTTGCAATGGGGCGTCCCAGATGGATTTTCACCCTGGAGCGGTTACGGGGTGAGAATCCATCTGGGCGCTCCAGGCATGTGGGCGGGGGGGGGGCAGCCGCGAGAAAAGGCTCCACATCAGCATCATCATCACCATGATCACCATCATCATCACCTGTGGTCATTTCCTACATCCTAAGTGATGTTTCTAGTTATCTCTGTCCACCTCGCGCATAAACACCCCACACGCGCGCACACCCACATCCAGATCACAATCAACATCGCCATCATCATCACCAACATCCGAATCATCATCATTATCAGCATCACCAGCAAATCACATCATCATCACCACCACCATCACCATCAACATTAATATCTCCATCATCACCATCGTCATCATCATCATCATCATCATCACCATCATCATCATCACCATCATCATCATCATCATCATCATCATCATCATCATCGCTATCATCATCATCATCATCATCATCACCAGCATCGTCGTTGTCGTCGCCATCATCATCGTCGTTATCACCACCATCATCACCATCTTCGCCATCATCATACTCATCATCATTGTTGGCATCACCATCTTCATTTCCATCCTCGATATGATCATCGGCATCGTCTTCATTACTAACATCATCCTCCGTCACATCATCGTCGTTCTCATCATCATCATCATCATCATCATCATCATCATCATCATCATCATCATCATCATCATCATC